TTTGGGGCCTTGTGCCGTACTATTTGGACCCTTAGGGGTATTTTACTATTATCCTCACATTGTTTTGATAGAAAGCTTTATCCTCAGTCATTGTTTATACCTGTTATTGTTAAATCTTGTTCATCACTCTATTTTAATATTTATGAACGTGTTTTGGACTGAGTTCCCTGAGTTTGCACCGAGATGCCCGAGTGGCTTGTGAGGTTGATGAGTGAGTGAGGTCGAGGGCCGGATTGTGAGGATAGTTATGGATCGGCCTGCACGCCGCAGCGATATGTTGGATCGGGCTGCACGCCGCAGCGATATAGCGCTTGGGTTGTAGGAGCCCCTCCGGAGTCTGTACACCCCCAGTGAGCGCAGTCGACTATATATTTATGGATCGGGCTGCACGCTGCAACGGTTATTATAAGATATCTATTGAGCGTGAGCGTGAGAGCTGATGGATGATAGTTGAGTCACGAGTGACTGAGAGGCTTGCCCGAGGGGCTATATATATGAGTGATGCTTTGCCCGAGGGGCTTGTTTTATGAAAATACTGTTTTTACTCTTCTTATTACTGAGCCTCTGTTGAAAATGTTGAACAAATGTTTTTACGATTTCATTGAAACTGGAGCTTTTACTAGATGTTCAGAATTTAATTACTAATTTGATCTTGTTATTCCCACTAAGGTTTTTTTGTTATGATATGTATATGATTTTAAATGCTCGTCATTGCACTCGGCCTTTATTTATAATTGTTACTTACTGAGTTGGCGTACTCACGTTACTCCCTACAACTTGTGTGCAGATCCAGGTGCCAGAGCATTCGAGTGAGAGCCGTCTCTTGCCTTCAGAGCATTTCGGAGATTGCTAGGTAGCTGCATGGCATCCGTAGCCCTGCCTTTCTCCTTCCTATCTTTTAGTATTTATTTTTGTCAGACTTATCTTCTATTGAGTAGACAGTATCAGACTGTATTTTAGTGGCTCATGACTAGTGACACCGGGGGATCGGGCAGTGTTGGATGTTTTGGCATATTTGTTTCCGCTTGTTTTGAAATGTTTAAACGAAAGAATTGTGATAATATCTAATTAGTAAATGAATTAAGAAAAAGACCTTTTATGTTTTTAAATGTTGAATCGGCTGGCCTAGTACTGCGATAGGCGCCATCACGACCGAGGGTGGTTTGGGGTCGTGACAAGTTGGTATCAGAACCTAGGTTACATAGGTCTCACCAGTCATGAGCCGATTTAGTAGAGTCTTGCGGATCGGTACGGAGACGTCTATACTTATCTTCGAGAGGCTGCAGAATCTTTAGGAAAAATTTCACATTCTTGAAATTCCTATCGTGCGAATCGGTTGATTCTAGTACTAAACTTCTGCTATTTTATTCTTTCATAGATGGTGAGGACACGTGCTACCAGTCAGGACGGACGACCACTAGTTGGGGCCACTAGAGGCCGAGGTCGCGGTCGAGGCCGTGGTAGGGGCAGGGGTGTAGCCCGTACAGCAGATAGGGCAGCACCTGCAGATCCACCAGCCGACCCAGTTCATGATCAGATTCCAGTGGGGATGCTCCAGCGGGACCAGCTCAGGCACCCGCTGTGCCTATTGTATTCCGGGTCTTCAGGAGACCTTGGCTCAGATCTTGACCGTGTGCACTAGTCTTGCTCACGCGGTCGCAGTTCTACTACAGCAACCACTTCTCAGGCCGGGGGAGGCACTCATATTCCTGCCGCCCGCACACCCGAGCAGGTTGTTAAAGGATTGCAGACACATGAGGCACCACCAGCCCAGCCGGTTGCACCTGCTCAGGATCTTATAGTACCAATTATGCCTGAGGACGAGCAGCGTCGATTGGAGAGGTTTGGTAGACTTCAGCCTCCGACTTTCAGTGGTGCAAAGGGCAAGGATGCCTAGGGTTTCTTGGACAAGTGTCAGAGGATTCTTCGTACATCGGGTATTCTAGAGACCAGTGGGATCGCATTTACTACTTTTCAGTTTTCTAGAGCTGCCTTCACTTGGTGGGAGGCTTATGAGAGGTGTAGGCCTGTTGGTGCAGCGCCCCTTACCTGGGGGCAGTTCTTCGCTTTCTTTTTAGAGAAGTACGTGCCACAGTCTCGCAGGGAGGAGCTGCGCAGGCAGTTCGAGCAGTTGCGTCAGGACGATATGACTGTGATGCAGTATGAGATGAGGTTTTCAGAGCTAGCTCGTCATGCTGTTTGGTTGGTCCCTACGGATAGAGAGAGGATCAGGAGGTTTGTGGATGGCCTCATATATCAGCTTCAGATTCTCATGACCAGAGAGAGGGTGTCAGGTGCTACTTTTGAGCAGGTTGTCGATATTGCCCAAGAGATTGAGTCAGTTCGTCGCCAGGAGCGAGATGAGAGGGAGGCCAAGAGGGCTCGAGGATCTGGTAGCTTTGGTGAAGTTCCTTCGAGAGGTCAGTTTCAGCACGGCAGAGGCCATCCATTCAAGCATGCTCAGTCAGCTCGCCTAGTTCATCGTGGGGCATCATCGGGCCATGGTTCTCACAGTTCTCATCAGGGCCATTCATCACTTGGTGCCCTTCCAGCCCAGAGTTCGTCCCGTGCTCCATCAGTTCAGGGCTCTTCCATGCCAGGTCCTTCTACTAGTCATCCCGGTGCTAGGAGTTCCCTTCAGTCCCCGTCCCTGCACCAGGGAGTTGTTATGAGTGTGGGGAGTTTGGGCATATGAGGAGACAATGTCCTCGTCTTCTTGGGGCTCCATCTCAGCAGAGGGGTCAGTCCTCGACTTCAGGTCCAGTTACTTCACCACCCGCCCAGGTGGCTAGGGGTGGGGGTCAGTCAGCTAGGGGTCGCCCTAGAGGGGGAGGTAGATCAGGTGGCGGTCAAGCCCGTTTCTATGCACTCCTAGCCAGACCAAATGCTATTGCTTCAGATGCCGTGATTACAGGTATTGTCTTAGTTTGCCACAGAGATGCCTCTGTGTTATTTGATCCCGGTTCCACTTTTTCATATGTGTCATCATATTTTGCTCGTTATTTGGATTCACCCGTGAGTCTCTCGTTTCATCTGTTCGTGTATCTACTCCGGTAGGCGATACTATTATTGTGGACTGCGTATACCGATCATGTGTGGTGACTATTGGGGGTTTGGAGACCCGAGTGGACCTTCTGTTACTTCGTATGGTGGATTTCGATGTGATATTAGGCATGCATTGGCTATCTCCGTGCCGTGCTATTTTGGACTGTCATGCTAAGACAGTGACGTTGGCTATGCTGGGTGTGCCACGGATTGAGTGGCGAGGTTCGACTGATTTTGTTCCCAGTAGGGTAATTTCATTTTTGAAGGCCCAGCGGATGGTTGGGAAGGGTTGTCTCTCTTACTTAGCCTTTGTGAGGGACGTCAGTGCAGAGGCTCCTAGTATTGATTCAGTCCCGGTAGTGAGGAATTTTCCAGATGTGTTTCCTGCAGACCTGTCGGGCATGCCCCCGGACAGGGATATTGATTTTGGTATTGATTTGGTACCGGGCACTCAGCCCATTTCTATTCCACCGTATCGTATGGCACCTGCGGAGTTGAAGGGAGCTGAAGGAGCAGCTTCAAGAACTCCTTGATAAGGGGTTTATTCGGCCTAGTGTGTCGCCTTGGGTGCGCCTGTTCTATTTGTGAAGAAGAAGGATGGCACGATGAGGACGTGCATTGATTACAAGCAGTTGAATAAAGTTACAATCAAGAACAAGTATCCTTTGCCTCGTATAGATGATTTACTCGACCAGCTTCAGGGAGCGATGGTGTTCTCCAAGATTGATCTCCGGTCAGGGTATCACCAGTTGAAGATCAGGGACTCGGATATTATTAAGACAGCTTTCAGGACCCGATATGGTCATTACGAGTTCCTTGTGATGTCCTTTGGGCTGACCAATGCCCCAGCAGCATTTATGCATTTGATGAACAACGTGTTTCGGCCCTACCTCGACTCGTTTGTTATTGTATTCATTGACGATATTCTGGTATACTCGCGTAGTCAGGAGGAGCACGCCGAGCATTAAAGAGTTGTATTGCAGCGGTTGAGGGAGGAGAAGCTTTATGCAAAGTTCTCCAAGTGTGAGTTTTGGCTCAGCTCAGTGGCTTTCTTGGGGCACGTGGTGTCCAGTGAGGGTATTCAGGTTGATCCGAAGAAGATAGAGGCGGTTCAAAGTTGGCCCAGACCGTCCTCAGCCACAGAGATTCGCAGCTTTCTTGGTTTGGCGGGTTATTACCATCGGTTAGTTCAGGGATTTTCATCTATTGCATCACCCTTGACCCAATTGACCCAAAAGGGTGCTCCATTCAGGTGATCGGATGAGTGTGAGGCGAGTTTTCAGCAGCTCAAGACTGCCTTGACCAAAGCTCCAGTGTTAGTTTTGCCATCAGTTTCAGGTTCATATACAGTGTATTGTGATACTTCGAGGGTTGGTATTGGGTGTGTGTTGATGCAGGAGGGTAAAGTGATTGCTTATGCTTCTCGTCAGTTGAAAGCCCCATGAGAAGTACCCTGTTCATGATTTGGCGTTGGCTGCCATTGATCACGCGTTGAAGATTTGGAGGCATTATCTCTATGGTGTGTCTTGTGAGGTGTTTACTGATCATCGTAGCCTCCAGCACTTGTTCAAGCAGAAGGATCTCAATTTGAGGCAGCGAAGATGGTTGGAGCTGCTAAAGGATTATGATATCACTATCTTGTATGGATGATCATCCAGTGTTAAAAAAAGCGGGCGCTTCCTCGCTTTAAGCGAGAAGCGAAGCGGAGCGGAGCGGAAGGGGCATCGCTACTGCCATTAAAAGCGGCTCTGGTATGCATAAGCGACCGCTTCTCTGTAAAAAGCGAGAAGCGGTGAAGCGCATAGAAGCAATCGAAGCGGACGCTTTTTCAATTAAAAGACCCAAAGCCCTAGTTTAATTAAAAACTTGGTATTCTGTTTCTGTTTTAGCTTCGACTTCTTCGGCAGCAAACTAAGGTTCTTCAAACCAGCGATTTCTTCCTCTCTTCTTCTTAGAAAGAGTTAAAGACTCAAATAATTCATGAACAAGAACTTTATAATCTTGATGATGATGATGATGAAACAGAAGAAGGTGACGATGCCTCGTCGCTTCCACCAAAATCACAAAAGCGGGGAAGAATGCTTCCACCAATGTCTTCTGGTTGTGGATCTACTGGCAAGACCAAAGATCCTATGGATTGTTACTTCCTGCAAAAATCTGGAGATAAGGGAGGAAAAAGTAGTAATCCTCAAGTTGATGCCAAAGCGATTTTGAGGGACCGTGCAGTTACCTGCTTTGCTCGGTGGATGTATGATGCAGGTCTTCCTTTTAATTGCGTTAACTATACTGACAATTTTGCTCCTTTTATTGAGGCCGTAGGCCAATATGGTCCAGGAATGAAGCCTCCAACTTATTATGAAGTTAGAGGGCCATATCTAAAAAAGGAGGTGGCAGAGGTGAACAAAATTGTGGAGGAGCACAAAGTAGAATGGAACAAGTTTGGTTGTTCCATTATGATGGATAAGTGGACGGCGAGAAATGGAAAAATGATCATCAATATCTTGGTGAATTCTCCTAAGGGAAGCCTGTTTCTTGAGTCCGTTGATGCAAGTGACTCTTCGACCGATTCAACCAAAATGTACTCCTTGTTCAAGAGTACAATAGACTCTATTGGAGCAGAAAATGTTGTTCAAGTTGTCACGGACAATGCCAGTGAAAATGTTAAAGCTGGTGATTTGATGTCCGCTGGGTACCCGCATATCTATTGGACTCGTGTGCAGCACATTCCATTAATTTGATCTTCGGTGATATTTTCAAGGAAAGACCCTTCAGTACTGTCTTTAATCAGGCAATTAAAGTGCATTCCTATATTGTTCAAAGGCCTTTGTTATTGAACATGATGAAGAGATTCACTAAACAAAGAAGCTTGGTGAAACCTGCAAAGACAAGATTTGCTACTGTTTTCTTCACTTTGCATAGGATGTACGAGCAAAAAAGCAATTTGAAGAAGTTGTTTGTTTCAGATGAGTACACTAGCAGTGCCTATGGAAGGGAAGCTCGAGGGAGAGAATCTGCAGATATTATACTTTCTCCTTCCTTCTGGAACAATGTGGTTCATCCATTGAAGATTGGTGGTCCTTTAGTTAAAGTGTTTCGTTTGGCGGATGGGGAGCAAAGGCCACCAATGGGCTACTTGTACGAAACAATTGATAGGGCAAAGGAGGCTATTCAAGCCTCTTTTAGTGATCAAAGAAAATACAAAAGAGTCTTTGAGATCATAGATAAAAGGTGGGATAGTAAGCTTCATAGCCCTTTGCATGCAGCTGGACTTGTTTTGAACCCGGAACTGTTTTATGCTAATGAAGAAAGGATTCTAAGAGATGAACCTTTGTGGAATGGATACTATGAATGTATTGAGAAGTTGATACCTCAAGAATCCGAAAATCACAGAGCAATTTAGTATTTATAGGAATGCTGAGCAACTTTTGGGAAAAAGCATGGCCATTAGACAAAGAAAGACAAAGTCACCAGGTGAGCGAGTGCTTATATGTTGTTTTATAGTTAATAAATTATTTCTTTATCAATATTATGTTTTGAAAATTTATTCTACTTCTACAGTTGAATGGTGGAAACAATATGGTCATTCCACTCCAGATTTACAAAAGTTTGCCATCAAGGTTTTAAGTCTAACATGTAGCTCATCCGGGTGTGAAAGGAATTGGAGCGTGTTTGAGCATGTAAGAACTAATAAGAAAGATTTAGTATATTGAGATAATTAAATTATATATCAATTGTCCTAATCTTACTAATTACTTATTATTTGCAGATTTATACCAAAAAGAGGAACAAAATAACCTTGAAGCGTCTCAATGATCTAGTCTCCATTAAGTACAATAGAACATTGAGGCGTCGTTACAACGCTCGCAATGTAATTGATCCAATTAGTTTGGACAACATCGATGATGCTAATGAATGGCTAACTGGAGTCACGGAAGGTCATGCAGATGAAGAAGTATTTGATGATACTTCTGATATCACTTGGGGTGATGTTGCGGAGGCGCGTGGAATTGGGGAGAGGATTTATGGTTTGAGGGGGAGTACCTCAACTTCAAGTTCACAGAGGAAGGGAAAACAGGCAACTACTTTGTCCCTAGTTGATGAAGAAGATGACGAGCAATATAATAATGATAGTTTTGACAATCTTGTAGAAGAATAGGATGCTCATTTCGTGCTTTAATTGATGCTACTCTTGACAATCTTGTAGAAGAATATGATGCTTATTTTGTGCTTTAATTGATGCTACTCTTTAGTTTTTTAATTCAAGTATTGAACATTTTCTTACAATTAATTACATGTGTTGTCTATGCCGTATTTATTTTAAATTTTTTTTAAAAAATTCCGCTTCACTTCAAAAAAGCGGGCGCTTCGCTTCTCGCTTCTCGCTTTTCGTGAAATGGGGGTTGTCGCTTTTCCTCGCTTCACGCTATTTTTAACACTGCTACATAGGGGGCTCAATCGATATGGAATATTTTGCTATTTATAAACAGATCATAGTCACCATAGAATAAACATGTAAATGAGAAAGAAATCTAGCCAAAGACAACTTGTCAATTTTCACTATATTGGTTCATAAATTTTTTAAGAATGAAATTATTAAACTTATAAATTATACAAATTTTTAAGGCTGGACATTCTGACTATAACTGCCAAGAAACTAATGGGTACTGATTGTCAAAGGATTCTATATATTGCTAACAACAAAAGTTGTTTTTTAACAAACGAATGAATTACTGGGGTTGAGAGTCTTATTGGCTATTGAGCTTTTAGATGGTGAAAAGTAGCCTTAGAAAACATATAGAGGAACCAATTCACAAAACAATACCAGAATAGAGGAGGAAACAATTCAATCAATTGACTATCAATCTAACAGCAACAAGATATCACAAACAACTTAGCAAAAACAGAAAAAGCTATACTTTCACAAATTATTACTAAGTTGTAATTCATTCATATTCTACAAATTAATAGTATTATTTAATAGGTGATATGGTAATGACTTACACGAGAATTGAGATTTAAACCATATGCTAACCAAGTATAGTTGAGAAAACAAAATGAAATCAACTCAACCATTATACGTATCAACCTTTCATACTTCAGTTGGTGATCAAATCCTTACCCTTTCTAGATTTTATTTTATTTGTTTGTTACTTAGTCAAAGTTACAACATAATAACAGACTAACTATAGTAATATAAACGCATTTGGTAATATATGATTCTGTCTAAATACTATGTATTCAATAAATAATACTCCAGTAAGTAGCCTAGCGCGTAGACACATTCTCCTGTGGCATTTCATCATCACTGCCCTCTAACATTCTTTTGGTGATATCAACGTCAACTGTTGGTCCGTATGCCCAACTACAAACCACAAAATACACCAGATTTAAAGCTCTCATAATCTGGCCAATAAGCTGTCATAACAGAGCAGATGCAAGACTTGACATATTCTTAGGCAGCTCTGAGTAATAGAACTCTGTTTGGCCAATTGTACTGAATGCCTCCGCTATACCATTTAAACTATATTGTATAATGAGCCACATTGCGGACATTCCTACCAACCCGTTGGGTTGTTCAACAGCCCTTGGCTTATCGCTCTTCTTCGTCGAACATGTTCCACGATACCAGAGACTAACATGGATATGCAAGAGATAAATATGCCAATTCCTATTCTTTCTATAGGTCTAAGCCTTACTTGTCTTCCTTTTATTTTAGATGCCAATGGAATGAGCATGCGGTCATAAATAAGTATCCAAATTGTTGTAGTTCATTCATAGTATTTAAGGTCATATTATTACTAAAAGATCCACTCGCACATCGAGCTCCGAGCTAACAAAATGCATATCGTTACCTTCAAATAGTAAAACAGAATGAGACTTTGAACCAAAACGTGGTGCCTAAAACTAGGATCTTTCAGCTGAGACTAAAAGAACGATAAAAAATAATATGCCATTAAATTTGCTGCTCCATTTTACTTTAGAAGAGCTTTCTAAATTGAGAAATGTTCCCATACCTCGAGAACCATAAATTTACTGCTTGTAAAATATTTTATGTTAAAGGTTGTCATTATATGAATTCGAATAAGTCCTCATTCCTTACCACGATGACAGAAAAGAAACAAAAATACTACAAGACAAGTTGCTTAGTCGACAGTGACAAAGTTCCAGTTTGGATTAGTTTCTAGTCAGCCTTTCGGATAAAAAATACCATTATGCACCTAACTGTAATATAAATACCAAAGCCTCTTAACTATTTTGCTTTCTACAATTGCTTCCTGAAGACTGAAGTGTAGCCTAAAATGCAACCAGAAAAGGAAGCAGATCATGTCCAAACGTGTCGTCTTGTGCTTTACACTTATAATACTCTGTCATGGATGTTTGTTTTCTTTCAGTAAACACTCTGCTTATTACTATATTTAAAACCACATCATTGTACTAAGCCATAGACAGTAAGGTTTCCGTTTCAGAGTAGGGATGAATCACTGTCTTCAAACACTATCAAAGTGATTAAACGGGAGTTTGTTGGAAAAGGAAACGCCAATTTAAACAATCAAGCATCATCAATCAATTGTAAATAAATCTATATAAACAATCGAGCAAAAGGATCCACTGTAAAACAATCCATATAATCAATCGAGCAGCATCAAGCATCAATCTATTGTAAATCAATCCAAACAAACAATCGAGCAGCATCAATCCACTGTAAATCGATCAATCCATATAAAAATCGAGCAACATCAATCAAAAATCTATTGCAAAACGATTGCAAGGAACCAATTTAACAGGGGAAGAAAAGAAATTAATAGGTTGATTCTTTTCCAGGTAAGTTCTCTCATTCATGTGACCTTCTCTTCTTCCCGACGAGGTACTGGAATTTACGCAGCAGCAATTTAGGTTTTCCTATTCAATTGACGGTATCCCTTTCTATTAAAGGGGAAATATATTTTCCTAGTTCCTACACGTTTCTAATTGGAGGGAACGATAAATCTCGTCCAAAAAATTTGGAGGGAAGGATGTTTTTCTTTTTGTGGGGAGGGAAAAGTTAAAATAATAAAAAATTAAATTCAATTAATAATTTTTAGTGGCATTTGTATTTTTATTGCCGGTAAAAGGATATCTTTTACTGGCTAATGTTCATGTGCCGCTAATTTTTCAGCTTAATGAATTTCTAGAATATGAATGCACCATCAAAAAAGTGAGAAAAAAGAAGTACCAAATGGTAATCGATTCATATTTCTTTGCATAAATAACTCAACATTCAACCAGGTGAACCATTCAACTTTTTTGGAGCATGGGGACTAACATATAATATTAATTAAATTTTACGAAATATATATATAAAATATTTAGTTTTGCGAAAGACCACGGATTCACATGCACCTTAAAAACGGCCTAAATCCGCCCATGCGCGGAGCTACTAGCCGATGGCAACCAGAAAAAAATGGGACTTAGTAAACTTTTATGTCTAACGATTAAACTAAAGAGCTACTACAAATTATGAAGTCATCGTTTTTGTCCTTCCGCACTGGCAATTGATAATCCTTTTTCGTTTAAAGAAAAAACAACGAAATAACTACGAAGTGCTTCTTTTCTTTGCTTCCGTTGTAACAGCTCTCCATTATTGTCCTTTTTCTACATCTATAACGCATGAAAAGGTCATTTCTTTTGATTCTTCTTCTTGTTTTTGTTCCCCTCTTAAGTCAAGTATGGACTTCTCTTATTCTTCCTTCCGCTACTTTCACATCTCACTCAAGATGAACTGCAGGGCACCTGCCTTGATGTCCAAAAAAACTACGAAGTGCTAAGTAGGGACCAGCTGGGTGTGACGACCCAAAGGGTCATCACTTGTTTCCTTACTCTCTCTGTACTTCTGAGGCCTTGAAAACCTCATTTGGGATTGCCTCAATTTGCATGCGCAGTCCGGGCGCGTAGCCGGAAAGCTTAAATGTGAATTATGTGAGAAAAATGTTAAGTCTTGATATTAAATTGATTAAATTTGACTTCGATCAATATTTCTGGCAAACGGACCCGGACCCGTATTTTGGCGGTCCCGGAGGGTCCGTAGGAAAATATGGGACTTGGGTGTATTCCCGGAATCGAATTCCGAGGTCCCAAGCCCGAGAAATGAATTTTTGTGTGAAATTGTTTTTTGAAAATAATTAAGGAAATTGGAAATGAGATTTGACTAAAAGACTGTGGTATCGGGCTCGTATTTTGGTTTCGACACCCGGTACAAGTCTTATATATGTTTTAAGCGCTTTCTGTAAAGTTTGGTTGAATTCGGACGTCGTTTGACGTGTTTTGGACTTAAAACTCTAAACTTGATGTTTTATGAAAATTGGAAGGAAATCATGGGTCTTGAGGCCTAATTTGATGTTTATGATGTTGTTTTGGCGATTT